TTTCCACATAACTGAAGGCTTTAAAACCTTTTTTCCAGAAAAAAATTAAAATTAGATTGTGTACTTCTTTTCCCATACGTTAGCATTATTGTCATGACTCAGAATTTCTTCCAGGCTATTGAGGTATAAAGCTGTGGGGCTTTAAAATAAGAAGCACCAGGATTTTTATGATTTTTGGACATCAGAGCATCTGCTCTTAATAATTTTCCTGGTTGTTAGTGATTTAAAAAAAAAAAAGTGCAGCTGTTAATATGTTTCCATCTAGCAGAGCTCCCTACCCACATTTAATTTTTGCTTTTAATTATCTGTGGACTGAGAAGACAGTCAAGCTTGTGAGACTTAAGTATAAATTCAGAGCCCACCGTCAGAATCAGAGTGTGAGATTTGCCACAGGAACAAAGGGCATGAACATCAACATCTGTTTTGGTTGTTCAAAGATTCAACTCCAAATACATAAAGAAGGATGCAAAGGTGAATGCAAGTTAGGGTCATAAGCCAGACCATATGCAAATTAGGATCATAAACCAAACCATATTTGTTGGTTCTTGGCTACGTTGGATTACCAAATTAGTAAGATGTTACTATGTAACTCAGAGTTAAGTAGGTATTTTTTATTCCATTTCCATATTGCAGAAATGAGAATTGGGAAGTGGCTGGGAAGCAGATTTTAGTTAAACAGAAAGATAAATTTTTTGACTTCACAAATTAGTACTGTGAACTGAGCACTGTTCCATGACTTGAATATTATCTCAGCTCCACGGCTAACCAGTTACTGTTCCAGTTATGTGGACCTCGGTATCCTCATGATCTCAGATCTTCTTGCAGGATTCTGGGACTCCAAAGTGGTTGACTTCCGTCATTCATAGCTTAGGCAGCGCTTACTGAAGAGAGGATTTCTGCATCAGTAGGAGGTTAGACTGAGTGACCTCTAAGGTGTAGTCCCATTCGAAGATTGAATAATCCTATGACTCACTTCTAGAGAACAGTTCCCTTGCATCTACCAAAGTGAATTTTAAACACCCAAGGGTGTTAGTGGTATAGCTTCTCCAGCCTGCATTGTTCCCCTGCCTTCTCACTTTGACCAAAGTCAAGAGGTAAGAATGCCGTTCTCAGAAGTTGTCAGGCCTTTTCTTTCATACTTCAGATTTAAAGCGGTTAAAAGTTTATGCAGCAGTAAGATAAATTAAGAGAAAAAGGGGTTGAAAACTGCCCTATTGAGCTGGTTATAAATTCTCTTTCTAGCAGCAATTGAGTCACGGCAAAAGAAGTTAATTAAAGAGCAATTCCATGGCTTGCGGTCTCAGGTAATACACCTCTGTGATGTATGTTAACTGTGAGGAAGATATGCAATGAGTGTAAGGTTATGAAGCAAATTTATAGTACGTAATGATTTTAATCATAAAATCCAATAACCAGTTTAGAAGGAAAATGCTCTGGTGCACTGAGAGCATTTAGCAAAATAAGAGGGGCAAACTCATGTTAGGAAGTAGCTCCTGATAACATCTTCCAAAGAGGAAGCATTTCAGAATTTGTTTTGCCTGGACAACATATCTATTACCAGAGAGTCATCTTTTTAGTCTTAAACCTCCATTCTGATAGTAAATGTACACCCTTCAATTTATAATCACATGCTGAAATTTTGAGTACTTGAAGCTCTGGTGGCACCAGTGGTTAAGACTTCAGGCTGCTAACCAAAAGGTTGATAGTTCAAATCCACCAGCTGCTCCTTGGAAACCCTATGAGGCAGTTCTACTCTGCCTTATAGGGTTGTTATCAGTTGGAATCAACTCAGCATCAATGGGTTTGATTATTTGTTCTTGAATGGGCTTTGATGGTTACTACCTCCCTTTTCCCCTGTTTGTATTATTTTTTTAAAATAGACTTTATTTGTTACAGCAGCTTTAGGTTTACAGAAAAATTATACAAAAAGTACAGAGTTTCCATTTACCCCTACTATCCACCTGCCCACAGTTTCCCCTATTATTAACATCTTGCATTGGTGTGGTACATTTGTTAGAACTGATAAAACAAAATTGATAATTATTATTCACAAAGTTCCATAGTTTACGTTAGAGTTTACTCTTTGTATTGTAGTCTTGTGTGCTTCGACAAATGCATAGTGTCGTAGGGCCACCATTACAGTATCATACAGAATAGTTGCACTGCCTGTGAAATGTCCTGGGCTCTACCTAGTCATCCTCCCTCCCTCCCCATCCAACCCCTCGCCAGCCATGGGTAATCATGGATATTTTTACAGTCTCTGTAATTTTGCCTTTTTTTGAAATCTCATATAGCGTGAATCATATAGTCATATTTGTATTAA